GTGCAACAGAAGTGCATATATCAGAACTTCTACTGGTCCTTTTTTTTCCTTTAACATGCACTTCTAGCAAACCTCTTAATCCAAATCTCCTGTTTTTGTCTAAACTTAAATTATGCCTGTGACCACACAAAGACGCACCCACACAGACTAATTAAACTGCAGAGCGATAGCAGAGGCCAGCCAAAATCCAAAAATGTACATTGAGAAACAAGTCTGCATAGCCACTCAAACTGATCAAGCCTGATATGAATGCCAAAGAAGGGCACTCATTGCCCATTAAATAAAATTAGAAATTGTGTTGGCGTGGTTGGAGGAAAACCAATCATTCTCATGGAGCTATTAATGTGCAGCAGAAATATAAACGCCTGTGCGCCTTATTTAACATTTATCCATGTGGCGGGTTTATAATGAGTAAACTGCCAGTTTTATTTTCCCTTTAAGCGTGAATAAATGCTCAAAAATTCAAGCAAGGTAACTGTTTATATTTTGCATTTGGTAAAGATTGATGGATCTGTCACATCTTGTCCTTTTCAGATAATGTAAATTGTTAAAGCACCTTTATAACTGTAGAAAATACATTCTGATTAAAAAGTGATTTCCTGGTAAAAATGGCCGCTATTAATCTAATCAAATCTGAAGCTAGTCAGTTTGAGAAATGTACATTTGTGTCGTGCTTATTTCCATTACATCAGGATAAATGAGGCATTTAATAATCTTTATTTCAACAAACTGTCCCCATTTGTAGCTTTGTGTGTGGGCGACACAAACAAAGCTGGTCAAAGATAAATCCCACACATTTGCTTATATTTTGAAACTCTAACAGATGAACCAAATGTAAAACATTAATACCATCAAACTTTTCCCACAGCTCCATATGTGCAGTTTGCATGCACATTTTCTCAACGAAAGCGTGCAATATTTTAAGTAACAAGAAAATCTTGTGTAAATGAACAAATGCGCAGAAGCACACAGCCAGCAGCCCCTTAAAAGCTGTTTCTGCTTAGTGGTTTTCTCTTTTTTTAAAAGCCAGGAGATGTTATGTGTAATGTAATCTTCTGGCTGTGTCAGGCTGCTACCTCAGTGAATTTGCTGTAGAAGACCCCAGACATGCAAACAAAGGAGTCTCTGTTCTGGCTACATGCGTCCTTTTCACAGGCACACATCATGTACAGGCTCAGCTAGGCATCTGACCACACTGTTTAAATGTGCAATAAAGCATAAGGCCTCTCTCTTTCAAAATGTGCTTGACCTGTGCAGCAGTGAAGCAATTCTGAGAACCGTCCTACGAACTAAGGGATAAAGGTCTTACTACAGACTAACTACAAAGAAAACTGAATAGAGGATCTGCTATCTCCATAACAAAACAATGGACATTAGTGTATGCAGTATTAAAACCCTGACTCATATCACAGCAACCATTGTAAATACTATTATTATAAAGGTTGCATCAAGTAAATGCACATATTATATGCATGCACTACTGATCATAGTACCTGGTCAACTGTTCATATCCTTATTTTGAATAATCATTGCACTTGATTGTCTTTAATGATTTTTAATCGTAAGGCAGTACCCACACAAATTACTCACACATCTAATAAAATATAGCTTCATAATAACTAATATGATAGCAATGTACTCTTAGAAGCAAGAAATGTCTGAATACACAAAAAATCATAATGCAGTTGTAGTGACTGGGATGCCTAATTAGGAAACTTGAGGTTAATTTTACAACCAAGTTTATAGCAACTTGGAAGAGATGCGCTTTAAACTCTGTACAAGCGAGGAAGTTAGGCTGTCCTTTATCTTTTGATTTGATGAGATAGATCTGACCATGGTTTTATCTGGGTAACATGGACACTGCTGTCATGGTAAAGACACAGCCATGCCAAAACAGACATTAAGAATAAAAACTAAATCATTTATTTGAAAAGTAAAGAAGATTTAAGAAAATGAATAAAACAAACCACAAAAAGTTTTTGTGTGGAATAAAAAAACATTTTTTGTAACATTATACCTTATTCTCTATTGTTAATAGATATGAAAATGCTGCAACTCTACCCTGCTATAAAATATCAAATTAAAGGTGCTCTGTTAAAGGATAGAACAGCCCAACAATGAACTCTGTGTTTCACAGGTTTCTTCAAGGCTTGAGTGTAAGCTTCTATTTGACAGCGCTGACAGAGCATCAACTGCAGCTGACATGTTTTGAAAAGCCCAAATTGCCTTATCCACTAAGAAGGTATTTGTTGACACAACACTGCAAACCTGGAGTGGGTGCCAGTGATTGACGCATGACCGCAGCACCAGCAAAACAACAAAGCTGGACATTTTTCCCAATTAGCGTGCACATGTATGCACGAGCAGTGACATAATTGGGGCAGACCAGGAAATGTGGCAAACAAGGATGGACTTTATAGCCTTGTGATGTGAGCTCTAAGCAGACAATAAGCTGCTAAAGCTCCACACTCAACCCTCTCTTATGGTCTCCGAATCCCAACATCAAAGAAACAATCCTATAAGATGAAAGTGCATCTGTGTGTTTATTGGACTTTTTATTTTATTTTGCATATGTGTGTTAGTTGGTGGAAATTTATGAGTTTTTATGTGTTTGCTGTGGGGTCCACATCCATATGTTTTTCATTTTTCTGTATTTTCAGGGTCTAATATAAATTTTACATTAAGTGAGTAAGCACATTTTTGTATAGTGAGAACAGTTTGGCTGCTTCTAGCATCTTCAAAGGTTTTTTTTTTTTTTTTTTTTTTTTTTCAGAACGCTTTAGAGTTAAGGTTGTAATTAAAATCATTTTAACGGGCTAGTAACACCAGAAAAAAGGAAAGAGGGTTTCTCAAGTCAGGTTGTTGAAAGAGCTGCTTGTAGGAAGTTTTAAATGCATTATGTCTCCTCATTTAATGCACCATTCAGTGTTTAACAAAAAGCATGGGTGTAGAGGTGAACCATGGTCTGAAAAACCTGTCGGCTTTAAGTGTGAATCCTGAGTGTTTCTTCTGTTCCATCCAAAATGTTACACTGGCTTTGGTAGATGTACAGAAAACTTCTCTTTGGTTATAAATTGATGAAAGAAATCTCAAAACATCAACAGAAAAATTAAACAAAGAGACCGTAAGATCATGTATTTGCTTCTTTGCAAAGAACTTAGCAGTTTATGAAGGAATTACAGTTTACGACGTTTGACAGCTGCATGAAGAGTTATGGAAAAGAACCCATCAATGAGAGAGAAACTGTTCTGTGTCTCACAGGCCGTGTCACTTTCCAGTACTACAATTGTGTGTTTGTGAGAAACAGATAGTTCTTGGCCCTCTGCTTTTGTCCACTGCCACTTTGAGTTATTTGGCGAGGCGCTAATTGACACAGAGGGTCTAAATTCATCGTGCTTTGTCAGAACACGAAGGTCATGCTGCTGGATCAACAAATCTTTGAGGTCCAAATTCTGCCATATGTCCTGCCATGTGTTCCCATCTACCAGCTGGGAGGAATCAACGCTGTGGCTCTGTGGAACTCCCTGATGGTGTGATGGCGTTTTAAACTGCTTTTGCTGTGTCTCAGTTTAGACCTATCATCAGTGCTGTCAGATTAACACTCAGAAACTATTTACTGTTTAGAGTATCTATATCGTCTTTGGACAAAAATAATATTCAACCATTTTTTGTGTAGGTTGAAAAAAAAAATTGCCACTAAACCTCACGTGCTGACATTATGAGTAGGAAGACGAAACTGTGTGTGTGTAACCAGAAGCTTGTTTTAAAGCTGATCTAGGACTCCAGTTGTTTATGCAATGCTTACAAATGTCTAGGTATTTCACTGAGATTTTATTTGATAGACCTAAATGAAGTAGAGTATTGACTGGATGGAAAGTAATACAATGACTTAGCTTATTTTTACCAATAAAAATCAGAATAAAACATGGATTATGATGTATTTGCAACAGCTTGAACAAATACTTTGCAAAACCTCTCATGATTAGAATTTGCCTTTTCAACACGTGATTATACTTTCCAATGTATGATCTAAACCACTCTAATGTAGCTCTTTCTGTATGTTAAGAGTCCTTCTGCTAGAAGGTAAACCATCACTCCATTCTCCAATGTTTAAGAGCCACTAACAGGAATTTTTCCAGGATCATTCTGCATTTTGCTCCAAATTACATCTTTTTCCTGTCCAACCCTTCCTGTTTTGGTTACAGAGAAGCATCCCCTTATCATAATGTTGCCACCACCATGTTTTATTGTTGGTATAGTGAGTTTTACTTTTTTTTATCACACAAAGCATTTAGCATGTAGGGCAAAAATACACTTTGGATGCATTCCTCTCCATGTTTGTAAGGTGCACAACTTATAGCTGTGATGTAAACATGGGGTCACAGGTGCTTCCTTGACAGCCATGCTTGGTACAGTAAAATGGTGGAAGACATGATATTCTGGAAGATGTTTAAAACTTGGGATATTTTTAATAACCTATCCTTTATTTAAAAATCTCCCCGACTTTACTGACGTCATATCTGCTCCTTGATCTTCATGAACCCTTTTGTTCTGTAATGTTCTCTAAAAACCTCTGAGGCCTTCAAAGAACAGCTTAATTTATAACCATAATAAATTACACACAGGGAGACTTTGAAGGTACTTGGTTTCCCTGGATTTTGCTATATCAGAAGATAAGAGGGTGAAATAGGCTTTTAGATTATGGATGTAAAATAAAGTAGACAAATATGTTGCATTTGTGTAAATTCCCAATAAAATACAAAGGCTTTTAGAGTATAAATATGTTTAAAAGACAAAACCAAAATGGTTGCTAACTTCCTATTTTACAAAGACACTCTTATCAGAACTGTATTCAATAAAAAAGTAAATATTTAACTTTAAAAATCTTATACAAATATGAATATAATAATAATGATGATGAAAGTGATGATAATAAAAACAATCACAAACAAAAGTTTTATTCATAAACTTTGGGAGAATTATCTGAAAAACTGTCCTACCTGATTTGGAGACCGAAACTCTTGGTTGCTGTCATTCATGTACATGTTGTCAGCATCAAACTGTGAAGAGAAACAAAAAGGATAAATTAACATTATATTCAAGAGGAGATTTCAAGAAAAAAAAAAAATAGCATTGGTGCCTGGGGAGGAGGAGGTACAAACAGGAAAAGCTCTAAAGCTCTTTACGGGTGGCCTCAAGTGTGAGACTAATGACTTTGTCACTTTGGTTAAACCTCGTGGTAGCATGGCAGCGCGGGCAATTACTGTTCGTCAGCGGGCCGGTAATTAGGCTACATGAGCGTGGTGACGAGAGATGGGCTTTTCCCTGTAGGCTCTACTGTGTGTGAGAGAAGAGAGAATGAGTGTGAATGAATCTATGACTGCATTCAGTTGGGAAGTGTGTGCTAGCTGTCTTTAAAGGGGTTTTGTGTGTGTGTGCGCGCACTGTGAAGTGAAGGCATGCTGTGTCTTCTAACTGGAGCTAATCAGGCAATGAAGGATCACTTGCTGCAGGTGCCAAAACACTCCTTGACATGGGGTTAGGGCTCGCGTAACAACAAATGACTCCCGACCAGCGAGGGTGCAGGGAAACAACACAGGGTCAACAGCAGAGTGCACCATGCTAGCTTGGCTCTCTGTCTACTGAGCTAAATCACTGTTAAAGGAGATTAGTTTTGAATGTGTCACAATTGCTGGAGAGAAAACAATTAAACAGATCTTTTTTAAGGCAATGAAATCGACACATTGACGGCCAGCTGAAATTCACAGCTACCTGCACGAAAAACCAAACGGTGTCTGGAGTAATTGATTGACAATTACTGATGAGACAAAAGATTGTGGTGCTAGGCTAAAAGTAATGAGTTTAGGAGTCAAGGTGAGACTTTCAACATTAGTTCACTGAACCAACTGTTAAGCATGGCATCAGAAGTATCATGCTGTGGGTCTGTTTCACTTCTAGTGATGCTGGTGTATTACAGAAAGTGGTGGAAAAAATGAAGAACTATAAACTTCACCCAATTTATAGGGGTAGACATTTGCAATAAATGTTTAATGTTGATCTTCTGGGATTAACAGGACCACAACATTGTGGAAGATTTATGGAATATGCTTAAAAGAACCGTCTGTGATTGGAAATCAATTAAATTTATAGAATAAAAACTATTACGTTTAAAGGTATTTCTAAGATATTGTCTTCCACTTAATGCTTACAAATTTACGTTTTTCTTTGTTTTAGACTTAGACAACTTTTGTTTTCATTTAGTATACACTGTTTATACAAAACGAAATTTCATTTAGTACAGATTTTCAGAGAGTAAAGGAACATTTCCATTCCATAAAGTGCAGCAGTGATCAAATGTAAAAAATGTGGGAGAAAAAAAACATGCAAAAAAACGCACTGATATGGAAGTTCAGATCATTAATATATGTGGTGCAAATATGCTGTATTTTTGGTTTGGTGTGCAGAGTCTGTGACATGATTTAGAGATTTTTTTTTCAACTGTTCAACTGTCTGATGGAAGTGAAGAAGAAACTAATGCAGAATCTGTTGGACCTGCATCGAATGCTGCAAAGCCTCTTCCAGGAGGGAAGCAGGAAGAACAGTCCATGGTGGGGGTGTGACGGGTCATTGATGATGTTACAGGCTGGGGATACGCAGCACTGGGATGAAATGTCTTTTATGGAGGGAAGAGGAGCCCCCATGATCTTCTCTGCAGTTCTCACAACTCTTCTCGCTTTCTTCCAGTCTGAGAAACTGCAGCCTCCACACCATGCAGTGAGAAAGCTGGTCAGATCGCTATCTATTGTGCTTTTGTAATAAGTCATCTGGATGGGTGAGGGCAGGTGGGCTATCTTCATCCTCTGCAGGAAGTATACATGCTTTTGTACGCTTTCAAAAAAAATGTTGTAGTATTTCTTTAATGTCTGCTATTTTTATTAGTCAATGGTTTTTTTTTAGATGTTTAATGACGCAGTGTTTCATTAGTCTATTCATTTGGCTAGTAATTACTTCGTTAAGGTATTCACTTTTTCCTCATTTGTTAATCATGGTCGTAAACATCTGACTGGAACTGTTTGTCACATAGAGTCAACTCTTATATGGTGACTTAGGTCAGTTTAAACACCAAAACACAGAAGGGAACATGAAATGACCAAAGATTAAAGACAATTAAATTTGACGTAATTCAATGTTGCATTCTTCAGAGTTTAATACATAGAAGGATAGTTTTTATTTGGAGGATGGTGCAGTATACAAATGGATCATAAAATGTACCTGCTCAAAACAACAGCCAGATAAGTAGCCTAATGGGCGGTAATGAGCTTTAATCCCTTAGGGGGTGAAATCTGATGTCCGCACTTGAAGGCAGGAAAAGCGAAAGTCGGTGAATGAACATTTGAGCAGTAAGAAAGAAAAATTACTGTACATAATTGCAGATGAAAGGTTAGGTGGAACAAGTTCTTGCCTTGAGGCAACGGTTCGTTAATGATGCATGCCATGAAAAGCCCAAGTGAGGATCCACATGAGCAATTTAATGATTACATTTACATTAATCTAAATATGCAAACATGAAAGTGAGCCAAGAGCTGGATATATGGTGAATCTAAGCCTCGTCCACATTTCAAGGAATAAATCCAAAGTAACTTCTACTTATTTGCTGGAGCTGAATGCTGACTAATTTAGCTATAGATACAGTCTATTTCTAAGAATGCATGGGAGGGTTTATCATCTGACTAACCTGCAGAGCGAGGGTCAAACAATCTTGACTTGGGTCACAAATTTGCAATGAACTCTTTCTTTCCTACATGACAGCCTCTTGTTCTCTTCTGAGCCATTTTATTCTATTATACTCCACTTTAATATGATGCAAAGCCACTTAGAGACCCTCTTAAAGATTATCTAATGTGGAAAGAGATGGTAGCGGCTGAACAATGTAATTTTAACCCCACAGCATCACAGGAGCTTTTTAGAGAAGTTCATTTCACAAAGTGAATTTTTTAGGTGGAAATCTTTGAAACTCGAAAGGGAAGAAATGCATCAGGACCAATTTAATCGCTTACTTCAGGCAATGCAATGATCAAAAGAAAGGCCACAACAGTCCTGAAAAAAGGTCAGCCATTTTGTGCTTCAACATGGCTGCTCATATATTCCAATGTAAAGCTTTTTCCCTATGCCCCTTTATCTGAACAACGCTGCTATGCACTTTCTCACTCTTCCATTTAAAATGCCAATTTACAGCTGGCTCAGTGCTATCAGCTCAGCCACAGGGGAATATCTTTTACTCTTTCTCCCTTTTTTGTCTTCTGCTTCTTTCCATTTTTCTTTTTTATTATCCTACTTCTATTCCTTTCTTTTTACTCATTGTCCTCATGTTCTCATCATCTCCACCTTTTTCCTCTGTTACAACCTTTCCAGTGTTACTTCTCCATCACACACCCGCCCTCCCCCCTTTCCCTCTTCGCCCGTCTCTTTTTCTTCAGCGGGGCTTGGCATCGCTTTCTCATCGGTAGCTTAATTGGGCATTCTGCCTGAGACAAGGGCCTCATTAAGCAGTAATTACACACATGTTGTTTTCGGCAAACATCTCTATTTGGATTGCTTTGCATAGTAATTGTTCAGCAGGGACCACTGCTTGCGATGTTTCAATCCATGACACACGTGGTGCTGGTGGTGAGGAATTCAAAAACATGAAGACGAAGGGTGGAGGCAAGGGGGAGGAGAAGGGTACTGAAAGAACAGAGAGGAAAAATAATAATAAGCTGTGGAAGAGACAAATTGTGAAATAAAGAATGCACAGATGAGAGGGAGAGAGGATGAGAGTAATGCAGATGCAAGTTGAAAGAATGACAGCAAAGCAGAGGCAGTGAGTGGAGAGACAAGATGAATAAATGACAAAAAGGACAACATTCAGTGTGAGAGGAAAATGAGAATGAGGAAAATGAGCGAGAGAAGAGAAAAGGGAAAAAAGATAGAGTCAGGGAACTGGGTCATGCCTCACTATAATCGACAAAGTTGAGTGTTTCAAAAATAATGAAGCCACAAGGTAGAAGTAATGCTAACTACCACATCCAGGGAAAACATGTGATATTTACACAGTTCTAATGGGGCAATATAAGGCTGGGATCCTTTCATCTAGGAGTCGCCTGTAAGACTGATGATGACAGGATTGGAGGCTCCACTGAAGACTGCATTTGATTGATGGACAATCTATATAAGCCCCTCACTAAGCCTTCTAGGCAACATCTGTTTGTGTGGAGGTGGAAGAGGGTGAAGATCAACTGCTTGTGGCGTAATGCCACCATTACACCACTTAGTCTCTACAGAGAAAAATCATGTCAAGCTTATGAAAAACTTTGTCCAAAGGGGCCAAAACATTTGAAAACATGTAAACACAACCAGTTATGTGTCTGTTTGTATAAATAATGGAGTTTTACAAATGGAAGAATCTAAAGTAATTAAACCTCAAACAATTAATCAGATTAATCTTGATTATTCGATTATTGAAATAATTGCAACTAATTTAGTAACAAATTAATCATTAACTGGAGTTTAGAGACTCTAAAACAAGCCTTTAGCTGACAGAGCAACCCAACTTGAGCAGCAATTATACCAAAATAAAAAAACAAAAAAGCATGTCAACATTTTGCATTTAAGATAAAAATCTGTTCTCCTCCATCCAGAACTCCTAAAGTGGAAAACTTTTAGTTTCTCCTGGTTTAATTTTGTAGGTCCTCTCTAAAGAACTTTTTGCTATCCGATTATTAATCGATTAATCGAAAAAATAATTGGCAGATTAATCGATTTGCAAAATAATTGTTAATTGTAGCCCTAAAAATAATGAGGTATTACAAAATGTTTGTTTCTGTATTTTTGCTTGTAGTCTGACTGCAGGCTCTTCCGAGCATACATAAAGCAGGAGGAAAAAACATTGTATAAGAGCAACTGATTGGAGAAATTTCAAAATGAATTTCTCTGTTGGGAGTCCTATCTCATCTTAAAACTGAAGACAACACAGTTTGAAACTTTCTCATAGGGCTAAATGGATTGGTGAAGAGGTGCACAA